CTGCTAGAAAGAACAAAAAACATCCTTTTTCTAAATTGCACCAAAAAATTTCCGGTTTTTTTTGTTACACACTGTATCTCCTCTCCTAGATCTGATGTAAATTAATTTCATATTAACTATTTTTGTCTAGAGATAATCCTATATATCACTTAACAAATGTGACATTATAAAACTGATCACATTACAATTGTGATGGAATGACTAAATTTTGATCCCTGAAATCCTTGGTAATATCAATGTTCACTTTGTCTGGTTTTGTTGCAGCATGCCCCATATCTATTGTATGGCATAACAATTATCCATATAAAATCTTTTTTTGGCAACTTGGATGTAGTGTAATGTTTGTCAATTGAACAACTTTTTGTCAATTTTACTATGATCATTATCTCTTCAGATCATTATTAGTTTTCTACACATGATTGGCGAAATACGAATTAAACTTTCTTTCAACAATTTTTTGGACTTGAAAATTTTAAATATAAGGTGCCTGATTTTGTATGACCTACTAATTGCTCCTCAGTTTGGTAGTTTTTTCTTCCTCTTGTAATAAAGAGGGGGGTCGTGCAAAGAGAAGAACAGCAAAATTATTTCATTATGGAAACAATATTTATAATCCATTTATTGACGCACATGCTGATACCAATTAATGATCCGTGCACATACACACTTCAAATGTTGAACATTTAACGGTGGCTGAGGAGAAAAAGTTATCGATAATATTCTCGGTTGTGGACGAGCTCTTTGTAGTGACAAGTCTTGCGCAGATTATTTGTGGTGGTCTTATCTCGAATCCGTGGAAATAAAATTCTCAAGTACAAGTAGAATTCAGAGAAGGAAAGTTGAGCTATTAAAATTCGAGGAACAGATAATTGGTAAAAAAACTCAAAAATCATCATCAAAGTCATCGTAAAACAAAAAACCACAAAAAATCAAGTAATCAGGAAGAAACAACACACTCTAACGACCTAGGAATTCTTCTTTCCCCAAAAGATTAAATCTTGAAAATGAAAATAACTTTTACTTTGGAAAAACGTTCGATGGTCTTTTTTTAATTAGTGCGTGTAACATTTTCTTGCGGGCTCAAGAGGCATGGTGTTATTTTTGAGCTCATAGTTAGGAGTCAAAGTATACGCGGAAAATTTACGTTGATACTTTTTAATAAAGTAGTTGTATAGGGATGAGAAAGTCTGGTGGCCATAACAAAGCCTGTTATCTAGACTTCATTCATTAGCACCAAAAAGACGACTTTATTATTAAAGTTTAAAAAAAAGGTTAAATCTTTAAGGATCCGCGATTGTGCAGATCAATGAGAACATCAATTGGCGCAGCACTTGATTCAAAATATTTTTCTTGTTATGATGGCAAACTCTGTTATAAATAATTCTTCTGAACCTGAAACAATATATCTCAATCCCAAAAAAACAATCAATAACCACACACTTAACAAATTAGGTGCTGATTTTTCTCTTGGTGCAAAATTCACTCCACGTACGCTAAGCAATATAGCATGTTATATTTTCGCAAAGGAGCCAAGAGAAAAAGTAAGTGAACCTTGGTTTTTTTATTGATAAATGATTGGAAGATAAGATTAATGATATCATTTTATATGATATCATAGAAGGAAATAGTTTATCAGGAGGATAGAGAAGTGTATACATGTACGATGTTTCAATATAAAGAATCAAGGATATCTGTAAGTATTATATAAACTTGGAGTGTCTCAAATAATTAATTAATCTTTTTTTATTTTTTTCTTGATTTTTTGTAGTTTTGCAATGATTCATATTCAATTTTCCATTCATTAGCCGAAATTCTCGCTAATAATGAATCTCAAGACCTGTAATTAATTTTTTTGATTGATTAATTGTTTGTTTGTTTGTTTGTTTGTTCTTAATAACTAATTAATCATCATCTAGTTTTGAAGAGGAAAAAAATAATTATAAGCAAGCATGTCATTTGGGATATGAATATTCTCAAATAATTATCAAGTGTATTAATAGATTGGATAAAGTATTTTTTTTTTTTTACAAACATAAATATAAATACATTGTACATATATTTATTAATTTATTTATTTCTAGATTAATCCTAAAACTGATGAAATTGAAAATGAATCAGCAAATTTTTTAAACATCTTTAAAGTCTGGGAACTTTCAAGAATTCTTTATTTTCAAGAATTTGATGAAGTAGGATATTTGGCTAGTGATTTGATGGATTGGTTAAACATATGTGATCCATTTCGTGGTAAATCAAATTTTTACAAACATATCAAGTTTTAATTTTTTATAATATCATTACTACTGATCATTCAATAATAAAAAAATAAATTTTTAAGGAAAAAATTTAAGATCAAGTTGATTTTTTACTTAATTCTGCAATACATTTTTCTATCTATTTAAATTTACATTATCAGTCTCGCCCGATCAAGAATTCATTAATTTCGAAGAATATAATCCTGAACATCATGAAGATCCATACTTTTGGAAATGTGTATTCAGGTAAATATGGAATCATTATTATATATTATATATTTATTATTTAAATTATATTGACAATTTATTATTGAAAAGATTTGCACTTCGAGACTCTCCGATGCTTAATAAATATTTGAAAAGTTTAATTAAACCTAATGAAAAGAATAATAATAATAATAATGCTATTAATACCCTTATGGAAAGAATAGCTGATCGACCACGAATAAAAAATGGGATTAAAACTAATCAAGATTTTATCGGATATTGGCAAGAATGGAAAAATCGTTGCAGGTAAAAAATAAATAAATAAATATGATATCTTTTATTTGATTTATATATATATATATATATATATATATAAATATTAATTTTTACTTTAATAATAATTATAATTATATTATGGAATAATAAAATCAGGAATCTTGTTAACATCATAAACTTTGAAAATAAAACTGTACAAGATAATGTAACAAAACTTATAAAGATTTTATGTGGTGAGACTGAAGCTATTTTACAGTGTTGTAAATTTTGGCAAGAAGCTTTTGTGTGTTGTATGTATCACTTTGGTCAAGATTATGATATAACAAATATACCGTAAGTTATATAGATTTATATGAACAGATCATTCATTATTAAGCCTTATATATAAATATTTATTTTTTGAAATAGTTCTATAGTTATAAAATGTTTAAAGAAATATCCAATAGATCCGAATAGCTTGATAGATAATGCCTTGTTTAAATTATTGTTAGGAGAGATAATTCCAGTAAGTTAATATATATATATATTTAATTACTTGTTAATTTGTAATTATTATTTACATGAGAGGGGTGGGGTTTTGTTGAAAACATAAAGGGGTTAGGATATTGTGAATTAATAGATTCCTGGTTGGCTGCACATTTGGCTGATATTCTAAGCAAATTTAATATAATACCTAAAAATAAAATTTCAGCCTTTTCAACTGAGCTCCGAGAATATTATCTGTTAAATTATGCAGAACTATTAATACACAATCAAGTATTATGGCAATTAGGATTTGAATATTTAGATCATTGTGAAATGCTTGGAGAATCATATTTATCAGAGGTTATAATTCAAATAAATAAATATTATTATTAATGGTATTATTACAAATATATAATAATTTATATAAAATCATTTATATATTCACACATTTTCTAGCTTATTGTTAAAGTTCCTATTGATTCAGAAAGAAAAGCAGCCAAATTGTTAAATATTTGTAAAGCCAAAAATTTAAAAGCTGAAGCCAGAATTATTTTAAAGGTACCACCTGAGTTTATATTTATATAGTCTATTTATATTTATTGTAATAATAAATTATTTTTTAATAAAGGTTATGGGCAAGAAATGTTTAAAAAATCAACGATATTCGTCATCAATCTTATACCTTATGCAAGCAGGTGAAACAGTATGGTTAGAAAAAATAGTCCAAATGCTTTTAGAAGATTATATTAGTACAGGTATGATATTGATTATGTATACATTAAATTATATTTCGATATTTTAAAATATTTTATATTTATCTAGGAAAATTTAATTTTTCAAATATAATTGATGATATTCCATTGGATGAATATTCACACGTGTCAATAAACTTTTTATCAAAGTTTGCATTATTTAATAAATTAATGAGGGCAAGCACACAATATAATATCTATTTTTATTCCATTAATATATTATATATGTTAACACTTATAATAATTAATATATAGGAAAAGGAATATGAACACGCAGGCAAAGAATTAATACAATTAATAAAATCACAAGTAGCACCTAAAGCTTATTGGCCAGCATTGTTAGTCAATGCGATTCCTTTATTAAAATTAGGTAAATTAATATATTTATATACATAATTGTTGGTTATAATAACTTATATTTGTCCCTCCTTATATATATATATATATATGTTAATAATAATAACAGATCATATATTTGACCAGCAAGATATACATGAAATTTGGCGTATTTTACAAGAAATTATAGGGCCATTACAACCTATAGAATGTTTATTAACAATTCAAAAAATAATGAAATGGCATAATCAAACAAATGAATATGAAACATTGGATGAGGAATTATCAATTATTCCTTATTTATGTACAAAAAATATTTCTAGATTGTAATTTGGAAACAAGTTCATTGAGATTTGTTAAAAATAAAAATATAAAGAAAAATGAATTATTGAGATTTGTTTAAAAATAAATATAAAGAAAAATGAACTAATAATACACAAATTTACTATTATCCTCGCCCCCATTATCGAATTTGTTTAAAATCCCATCATTATTATGAGTATGGTTGACATCATGATTAGTATTAAAATCATTATTGTTGTTGTTGCTGATGTCACCATTAAAACCATTTTCAGAGAAAATCACACCCTGATTAGTAAAGATCTGTGAATTTGTAGATAGAAAGTCTGTTGTAACATCAAGATTTATTGATGGCGACGTTGATGTTGTAAGATTGGGTAATGTTGAATCAGAGGTATTAATATTAGTATTAATATTGTTTGTATTATGTGATGAATAATCAGTAAATAAAATATTTGTCATTGGGTTATTGACAATGATTGGTTGGAAATGTAAATTGGTAACATTGTCAGAATTTGTCAAAATTTGTTGGTGCGGGTGTGGTGATAATGATGGTGGTGGTGATGATGGTGATAATGATGAAGACGATGGAGGATATGATGGTTGTGTTGACACTTTATTTTGAAAATTGTTATTGAAACCGTCTATTGAAAATGTAAAATTAAAATTATTTATATTATCAGGTAGATAGGTGGACATATTATTTTTTCTTCTATTATAACTATGTTTTCTTCCTTTATTGCCATTGTTATTAGTTGTTGTATGAGAAAAATAATTATCGTGCTCATCAAATTCAAACAATGTAAAGCCATTTTCTGATTTAATCTGTTGTGCATTTTTAGTTTCCTCTTCTTTTGCACTAATCAACAAATTTTTCAATGTCATCTCGCCATCCAATCTACCCTCACCACCAAACCTTCTCCTAGCAATTTCCCTAACTTGGTTTTTGATTTCTTTTAGTCGTTGCACCATACTTGCAGCCTTTTCGTCCCCTTTTTGTGCTGTCCATGATAAAACTCTGATAGCTGGTGCTATTGAAAATAATGCTGTACATGATTGTTCAAAAAAATCTGATACAGAATTCATCAATACATCAAGCCAATGCAAAAGTATTGTAGCTGCATGAAAACAGATTGCTTGTGATGATATTCTAGTTTCTTCATCAATATTGTTAATCGGTAAATGGTTTGATGTGAACATTGTCAAATTACGACTATGAAGTAGAATAAGTACCGTCCAAAATAAAGTATGCATTTCTCCTAAAAAAATTAATACAATCACAAAATTTGATTTTTCAATTTTAAAATGTATACTTATATAGACTATATCTAATTAAATTTTGATTTTAACTACCTCCAATTGAACCTAAAAAACTTCCTTTAACATCTTGAGCCATTTCTTCAAATTTCAACCAATTAGGAAGAGTATAAAACCATCTTCCTAATGCAGCATCCAAAAATTTGAATTGATTTTCTTGGTGTTGACCGCCTGTTGTTTTAGCATGCCCATACAAATATTTACGAATCTATTTTAAAACATAAACAAAAAAAAATTAATAATTAATAAGCTGGCTCCATTTATATTTAACATGTGGTTTTTTTCCAAGGTATAAATAAAAGTATAATGTTTAATTGATTACTTGAGCAAAAATTCTTAATAAATTTATGTGTAAGATCCAAGCAATATGTAGTCTTGTTTCTTCATCAGGTTCAGGATCTGACGGTATTGGAAGTAAATCCACATCACAAGTTGCTTCATCTATAGCACTCGGACGACCATAAGTTGCAGAAAGCCACCTAATTATTGGACAAAGAAAAATTGAATTATTATGAAATAATAAAAATTTTAGTGATAAATATCTAATAATATAATTAACTGATTGATACTATAAGCAATTAATGATTATAAACGATCTGCACCGTAGTTTGATTTCGATTCAATTTGAACTGATTCGAATCATTATCATTCATTAGTTATATTCATTATTTAGATTTAATGAATTTATTAATGAATTGTGCGCAATTGTGAATTTTATTACTCTTTTATTCGTCATCATTATTGTTATCGATTAATAGTAATATTAGTGATGGTGGTCGAAACTACCTTACTTAGTGGACCGAAATTGCCGATTGGCCTAAACTCGGCAAAACTAAATTTAATAATAGCTGAAATTGCGCGAAATTATTTTTAAAGTAGATTGATTTATATGTTTGTTATTATAAAAGCAAAACTACCTTTTTTTCAAAAATAGTTTCAGCCACCATCACTAAATAATCTCCTTTATAAATTAAATTTAAAAATTTTATTATTATTATTAAACCATTCTTGGATCTCGATCCATTAAATCGAGGCATGTACACTAGATTGAGATTTACTATTACTATGTTAATATGACATTAAAAAATTTTTTAGGAATCCGGTTTGATTCAATCAAATCAAATCGAGTACAGAACGAATTAAATCAATCTAAAATTCGATTTGTTCAGATCAGGGCTGGCAGCGTAAAGGTGTTAAAAACCTAATTTAGTAATAATCATCTTGACTAAACTTGACTTAACATATGACTAAATAGTTTAGTCAGTTTAGCCAAGTGCTCATTTGAGTTACGCAATCAGCCCTGGTTCAGTGAACATTTGATTTCATTGGCCAAAATTTTTGTTTATTGGCTCAATGATGATTGAATAGAAATGAGGCAACTCATTTCTGACCAATTTTGGGTTAGTTAGTATCATCTTTATATGAGGCATAAATTTAGCTCAAAAACCATACCAATTAATATTAAATTTCACACAATTCAGGGGAGGGCTGAAAATTTAGATTTTGAAGTACCAAGTTCAGGTAAATAAATTATTAATTTATATTTATTACATTCTGAAAAGTAAAATAAACAAAATTGAATTCTAATTTCTATCAATAAATTATTAATTGATTTAAGAGTTTTTAAAAAAAAAATTTATATTGTTAATGAGAATTTTTAAGAATGAAAGTAGCCTTTACAATTTTCTGAAGCACATTTGCAAATATATTTATTTTTGAATTTTGTATTATCTTCATCTTCGCCCAAGTATTCAGATATTTCTTCAGGATATTCAATTGAACCATTATAATTAAAAGTTAACTCTTCACCAGGGGCAATATCTCTTTTTGAAAAGAATGCAACGTGATGTAATCTTATATCAGCATTGTCATTTACTATAGGCACAACAATTAAATTAGGATCACATGAATGATTTAAAAAATGTGATATATTTCCATAATTACTAGCATCTATTGTATAGAGATTTTGATCATTTGCCGTAGAGAAATCAAGATCAAATAAATAAGTCCTACCAACTTCGTCATAAGTTGTGCCTCTTGTATCAGCTTCTTCTGTGGTTATTAATTCACCATAATAATATGTAATGAATGCCCCGGAGGGTATTTTTTTAATTGCTACAACACCCCAACCCTTTTCTTTAAATCTTTGTATTGCTAAAGGTACCTTACGTCCCCATTGAGTCACACGATTAGGACAGTCAATACTACAGGAACATTTGGAATTGCATTCATATATTGCATTCCCTGGTTTTACACGCAGTTGATGTGTATATCTTTCATAATTTAATTTACCTTGATTGTGTTCATTAAAACATTTACATTGATATCCTTTGCAACTTCCTTCTTCACAATCACAGCCTGCTAAGCCTCCCTTTAAATTTTCAGGCCTTGGAACATTATTTCCATATATATAATAATCTACATATGTGAAATTAGGTGGTGGCCCTTCATCATCTATTTCGTTGATAACAGGAATGATTGGCCCATCTTTAACACTACTGTTCAACATAGTTTCAAATTCAATAACACCTTTTGTTTGTCTTTTTCTCTAATTATAAAAAAATAAAAACAAAGAAATAAAATAAAATTCAATTGATTGTTTAAAAAAATAAAAAAAAATAAAATTTAAAAATTCTATGTAAAAATAATCTCACTCTAAGAAATTCTTTGAATGATAATGTATTTGGTCCAGAACAATCAGCTCTTACATTTAAACTCATTTCACTCTTTAACCGAAGTTCTCTTTTGTATTGTTTAATTAGCTCTGAGCAATTAAGATTTTGAAATGGTTCCCTAATTAATTAATTAATTTATGTGCGTTTATATAAATATGATAGATGAAATACTAAGATTAATAAAATAAAAACCCATTTTAATATAATGATGAGATGAATATTAATGTAATTCGCTCATTTTTTCAGTATAATAATAACGCCTTACCAAGTGTTATAGGAATCATCATATCCCCTCCATTTTAAAAGGTAATATATAATGCCCTATATTGTATAGAATTTTTATTTTTATTTTAAGTACTTGTATTATAAAATATCAAAAATAATAGTAAATTTTATAACTTTAGAAAAACACAGTTAACAATTTTAATCTCAAGTCAAAAGATAACTCAATCTTACATTTTCTTCTGTTTTTTGATCTATAATTTTTTCAACCTTTTTTACATATCAATAAAAAAAAAAGAAAATATTTAGTCAATAATCTCTTGCTTGAACAATTTTTATCAAACATGAATTTTTTCTACTTGTACTGATATTTTTATATAATGATAATGAAATTACCTAGTATTCTTCCTCTGAAGGTTTATTATATAAAATTGGTATAGACATTTTTAAGAATTGGGGAATTTTGAATTTTTTTTAAAAAAAACCTGCTTTCTACAATTCTAGGACCCTGAGTTTGAAAAATGCAATTTAAAAAATCTGAAATTCGACCACAAACTAGTATATACAATGTTTAATGTGTAACGTGGTACGCACACTGAATGCTGGCTGGCTTGGCTGCAGGGACGACGAATTCCTATATTAATATTATTTATTAAAGAAGAATTCAGGGAAATGAATTTAAAACAATAAAAAATTATTTCATTAAAATCATTGTATATATATATATATATATATATAATTATTGTATAATTAATTAGAATTATAATACATCATATTTAAAATTTTTTTAGTTTCTGAAAGATGACTCTAACATGCACCATTATTAATATCAACAAGAATAGAAAGATATTCAGCATTATTCCATTTCTGCTTTTGATACCCAAATCTGATGTTTCTGCGATTTCTGCAGCACTGCGGATAATTTTTTGAAATCATTTTCCAAGAGAAAAAATGCCAAAATATTTTATACAATTTGCTCAGTGTGTGTAAATTCATTATCGTAACCATTAAAATTATTATCAACTTGACTTTGTTAATAT